ACACAGGAACCACACAGGGGCCACACAGGAACCACACAGGGGGTACACAGGGGCCACACAGGAACCACACAGGGGCCACACAGGAACCACACAGGCTACACAGGGGCCACACAGGAACCACACAGGGGCCACACAGGAACCACACAGAGGGTACACAGGGGCCACACAGGAACCACACGGGGTACACAGGAGCCACACAGGGGCCACAGAGGGGGTACACAGGGGCCACACAGGGACCACATAGGGGCTACACAGGGGCCACGCAGGAACCACACAGGGGCCACACAGGAACCACACAGGGGGTACACACGAACCACATAGGGGCCACACAGGAGCCACACAGGGGCCACACGGGGTACACAGGAACCACACAGGGAGTACACAGGAACCACACAGGGGCCACACAGGAACTACACAGGGGCCACAAAGGAACTACACAGGAATTACACAGGGGCCACACAGGGGCTACACAGGAACTACACAGGGGCTACACAGGAACTACACAGGAACTACACAGGGGCCACACAGGAACTACACAGGGGCTACACACGAACTACACAGGGGCTACACAGGGGCCACACAGGAGCTACACAGGGGCCACACAGGGACTACACAGGGGCTACACAGGGACTACGCAGGAACTACACATGGGCCACGCAGGAACTACACAGGGGCCACGCAGGAACTACACAGGGGCCACGCACGAACTACACAGGGGCTACACAGGGGCCACACAGGAACCACACAGGGGCTACACAGGAACTACACAGGGGCTACACAGGAACTACACAGGGGCTACACAGGAACTACACAGGGGCTACACAGGGGCCACACAGGAACTACACAGGGGCTACACAGGGGCCACACAGGAACTACACAGGGGCTACACAGGGGCTACACAGGGGCCACACAGGAACCACACAGGGGCCACACAGGAACCACACAGGGGCCACACAGGAACTACACAGGGGCCACACAGGAACCACACANACACAGGGGCCACACAGGAACCACACAGGGGCCACACAGGAACTACACAGGGGCCACACAGGGGTTACACAGGGGCCACACAGGAACTACACAGGGGCTACACAGGGGCCACACAGGAACTACACAGGAACCACACAGGGGGTACATAGGAACTACACAGGGGCTACACAGGAACTACACAGGAACTACACAGGGGCTACACAGGAACTACACAGGAACCACACGGGTACACAGGAACCACACAGGGGCCACACAGGAACCACAGAGGCCACACAGGAACTACACAAGGGCCACAAAGGAACGACACAGGGGCCACAAAGGAATGACACAGGGGCCACACAGGAGCCACACAGGTCCTACACAGGAGCCACACAGGGGCCACATAGGGGCTACACGGGAACTACACAGGAACTACACAGGGCCACACAGGGGCTACACAGGAACTACACAGGGCTACACAGGGGCTACACAGGAACTACACAGGGTCTACAGAGAAGCTACACAAGGGCTACACAGGAACCACACAGGGGCCACACAGGAACTACACAGGGGCTACACAGGAACTACACAGGGGCTCCACAGGGGCCACACAGGGCTACACAGGGGCCAAAGAGGGGCTACACAGGAACTACACAGGGTTACCCGGGCTACACAGGAACTACACAGGGCTACACAGGGGCCAATCAGGGGCTACACAGGAACTACACAGGAACTACACAGGAACTACACAGGGTTACACGGGCTACACAGGAACTACACAGGGCTACACAGGGGCTACACAGGAACTACACAGAAACTACACAGGGGCTA